ATTAACGAACAGGTTATAGCTGTGATCCATAGTGTGATCAGGATCTTCTTGTAATACCTTTTCAGCTTGGTTCGATAGGTAAAGGGCTCCATGACAGCTACATATCTGTCCCATGTAACAGCACAGATGTTCCCGACTCCAGACAACATGATTATCATTATGACGTATCCAGTAAGGTTAATTGCATGGTTATTGACCACGGTATTAGTAACCCATGGGAGATACAATGGCAACAACACTCCTCCCATTAACACATCAGACACAGCCAGAGACAAGACGAAATAGTTGGTAAAAGTTCTAAGTTCCTTAATGAACACCACCATACAGATAACCGCCATGTTAGTGATAACCACGATAACACATAACACAAACAGGGCGACTTTGAGATCCATTTGTCTGTTTAAACAATAAAGAATGTGTTTGAATAATTTTATTTGATTGGGAAATTTTGCTCGAGTACGATTCTTTTGACCCCTGATGTTTCCCCATTTCAGACCAAGTGTCATTCACTAGAGTGTTATTCCCTAACAGTTATGCATGAGAAGACACATGAATATGAATACAACTCAAACCAAGATTTCTTATTCTCAAGGGAATGACATGTGCTCTGAAATGGGAAAACATTACGGTCAAGGTAAAGAGAACAATTATGCCCTCCCTTGCTACTTTTGACAGCCATCATCACATCTTGGAATCTAAGTATTGACTGGTGATCAATAGATTCTAGTTTTAAGCCTTGAAACTACTTTAATGCTCAACATAGCGTTTAATCAATTATAATAATGTTAAAAAAATGGGATTACAATGCATCTAAGATAATCAATGGTTAATACACCTATTTCAATAAACGTTGTCATGGCGCCAAAGGCTATAGGTCATTGCGACATGGAAATGGTTTCGTTGAATACAAAGAACATTGAAACAGAACATTGAATGCCACGTGTTCTATTTATAACCTACATGGCAAGAAAAATATTAAGTTATATATTAATGTTAATGTTTTCCTTTTGACAAGACTGCTTGGTCTATTCAGGAAAGTGACGTCACCTATTGATTAAACTTCCATATATCAACAAAAAATCCAATAAAAGCCAATTGTCTAGACTGTGGCATTATATGAATTCATTATTATCATATACAAAACAGGTGGCTTATTTTGCTACTTCGAAATTGTAATTTCCACTGGTATTTTTTTGAATAATTTAAAATTCTAATTTAATTTATTTTTTATTTTTATTTTTTTGTTTAATTTTGTGTGTGTTTAAAAAAAATGCAGTGGTAGAAAATTCTTACTTAGAAATCTCGTTTTGTTGATGGTTGATTTTTCTTTAGTCCATGCAGATCATTCAGGCTAAACGCGGAACATCATCTCTGCCGGAAAGTTTGCTAGTTATTTTAACGATTTTAAAGCAATAGACATCAATTCAACCGTGTGTTATATAATCCCACAAGATGGCTTCCTTACCTTTTACACAAACTGGTGGTTATCAAAGGAGAGGATTCATGTAGTAAGCACGAGGCTGCCAATTCAGACAGCTTTACTTGGTATTTGAATTCCCTCTCTGTCTTTCCCTTGTACCATATCTGAAGGTTAATTTGAATGCTAAGAAGCCTTCTTGACTAATCAGTGAACGTCACGAAAAAACCAATGAAATATTTATCCCGCAGCACGCAGCAACTTTTGATTGGTTGAGAGTCTTCTATAGGTGTAATTGAATACATGGAAAGGCAATAAGCAATTAGCTAAAAAGTAAAGGAAAACTTTATTTTTTTATATATATAGAATTTTGGGTGCCAATGGGGTTACTAGTAAACTGACATTCGGTCAAAAAAATAGCTGATAACTGACAACATCCTATGTAATCTATATTTATGAATGTCCTTTTAGTGCAAATGAATATTAATCATTAAAAAAATAGTAGTTAACTAACAATTGGATACCCCCCATGGCACCCTCAGAATTTAACGCTGAGTAAAATGAGGTGTCCCAACTGCGTTTTTGAAATAGTGAAATTAGAATACCATGTCTTGTCAAGTTTTTCATATTTAATAACTTTTTTTTAAAAATTCTCAAAACATCTTCTATGAACATTATTTTTGAGACTTTTTTTAAAAAATTAAAAATATTTGAAGGAATTATTGAGAATAAAACCGAAAATTGAAATGAACCGAAAATCTTGCTCAAACGATGACAACAACAAAACCAAAAAAAAAAAAGCTTTTACAATGAAATGCTAAAAATAGACATGACGTCATCTTCGGTGAAGAAAGATTGAGATTTCATTAGCTGTTACACAAAATTTATTGTGACTCCTCGTAGCGGTTAAACAGAATGCAATGTTTGTCCGAATCTTTAAGCTATTTTTAGAATCAGCGCACTGTGCATGCTATTGAGCGAAGGGATCTAAAAAAAAATGACCCTATGTTTAATTTGTCCCGTTTTCCCGAGTGTCCTGGGTTTTTCCTGATCATCCTGGTTTTGGCCTTGTTGTCCTGGTTTTGGCCTTGTTGTCCTGGTTTTGGCCTTGTTGTCCTGTATAATAAAACATTTTGAGAAAAGTCTCATTCGTATTACAACTCTACGAACCGTCAACATGGTAACCGAGTGTGCCGGGATTGTCCTGTTCCTGGATGTGGAGCAATGTATCTTGTCAAGTTATCAAATCATTTGGCTGATGTGCATTTTCTGGATTACAAAGAAAGAAGATTTTATTTACAAGAAGCCAAACTTCAACCCAAAATCAAAGTGCAAGGCGATGCTCCGAAATCAAAATCTTCGAAAAGATTAGAAGTTCCATTGCTATCAGAAAGACCAGATATATTTTATGACTTTCAACACCAAGAAAGAAAAAGAAAATGCGGTTGCCGAAGACACAACAAAGAAAAGTTAACAAGACCAAGAAAACCGTAAAGAGATAGAAAAGACAGATTCATTCCACGAGAAGAAAATTGTAAAGCAGACTTTACCACTGCGGGATATCACTTTTACCTCCTAAATACCTCTGCTAGTTTTTCAACAAAGAAGATGGATGTTAGTTATTCTGTTTACGCAGAAGTACGGAAGTACCTTGAGTGTTTTAAATATATTTGATCCAAAATATTTTTGATCCTAGAAGATTCTTGTGCTTGTTTGATTACAATTTCTATGAGCTAGCAATCACAAATTATCATAGTCCGGAGGGTTTCGGAAAGCAATCAGGCTTCGAATGTAAAGCGTGAGGTGTTGGAATGCACGACTTTGGAAACATTCTGTACAATAGAAAGGCGTAACGATTCGTAACGATATAAACAAAGTGCGAGTGAAGAAAGCGGTCACATATTTAGAATTATAATGCAAATGTTTACGGAATTGAGAATATTATTTGACGGTTTTAAATTATTTCAATGAACTTGAAACTTTAGGGTATATGAATGCGTTATCTAAAGTAACTGACTTGGAAGTTAAAAAAAATTCATCATCGGATTATTGAGTTTGACCGTTTTTAGTAAAGATAAGTGAAATCTTTGACAAGATATCAAAAGGCACAACTTTATAACTAGGCTTGAAATCATATTTCTCGAAATCGAATAACGCGATTTCTTTCCATTTCTCAGAAGGACAGGTGGAATAGGCCACAAACAAAACCCAGTCGAGCCACCTTAACTATGATTTATTCGACGATAAACATTGAATCCATCGTACTATCCTAGAATAGAGATGTTCTAAAAATAGAAACAACCTATCAAACTATTCAGGGTGAGGGGGTTTGAGATAAATCCAAAAGATTTCTTTGATGACGTCAGAAATTCGAGTGAGCTAAAAGTAGATACAACGTATCCAGGATGGAGATCTAGGAGGGATCGCCCTGGAGTTTCCAAAACAGCCGCTGATTGGTTCCTATGTCTGATCACGTCATAATTCGGACTATTCTAAAAATAGGTATGACCTATCCAAAACACGGGAATAGAGAGAGCAGCGGAGTTTCCAAAAAGGCCCCTGATTAGTTCTCGGGGACCTATGAGGTAATTCTAAAAATAGATATAACGGGATTAGAGGGGGCACCGGAGCTATGACGTCACTATAAGGGGTATGACGTCAATTTGGGGGCTGATCCGAAATCACCTTTTCCGCACAATCCTAATATGGAATTGATCATACCATATATGGAGTGAGCTTTCTCTACTACAACTTCGACACTAACATATAGCGTAAAGCTTGATATGTAAACCAAAACCTCAAACCGAGAGCAAAAAAAAAAATCATCAAGCAACTCACAAAGGACTCCTTCTCTCCCAAATCCCCCACCCAACAACAACGAAAAAACAGTTTTTACGGTGTTAAGTGACACATAAGTTCGATAATAAGCTAAAAATAATTAGCATATACCAACTTGTGTACTTCCTAAGAACGCGCGCGCTCATTGGCTAATTGGAGATGAATATTGTACGATATTTACCTCTGAATCTCGGAATATTGAGTCGGCGACTAAATGGCATCTGCCGGCAATCGTTTTGCTACAGTTTCCGATGAGGAAATTGAAAAAATTAAAGTGAAGGCCATTCCTATCAATACTAAAAAGGCCACGAGGTATGGCCTAAAAGTTTTGCTATAAGTTTTGCTAAAAGTTTTGCTTGAATTTGTCACACAAACTAAAAGTTTCTGTTTGTTTGTTTTTATTGAATTATTTTATATAAAAATAAGTTACTTTGTACACAAGTTGGTATATGCTAAAACAATTATTCGCCTCAGTCTCAGTCAATACGAAGAATATTTACTCGCGTCTCGGTAAATATTCCTCGATATTCACTTCGCCTTCAACGAATAATTGCTAAATATCCCGAATTGCCTGAAAAAAAGCGTATGAGCTACCGACTAACTCTTTAGTGGTCCAAATCGCCCCCCTCCCCCCTCCTCTCTCTCTCTCTCTTCCCAAGTGTACAGCACCGGCCCTATTTATAGAATTCACTAATGTGAGAATAGGAAATATTACATGTTAAAACCGATTATCCTTTGGTTTCAGCGAAGGACCTTCAAGAATGGATAGAATCTACTAGTGACGAGTTCGCAACTGTTTTGTTCAAGTTGAATTCCATCGTAGACAACGCTGACACGCTCGTGAGGTCATTGTCACCAGCCGTACAGCAAGCTATTGAGAGACAAACCACTGAGATCAAGGTAGACTTACGCGTAGGGTGGGGTGGGGTGGGGATTCATTGGCACTGAGATCAAGATACACTTGTAAAGGGTAGGGTGGGAGTTGTCAGTCAAAGAGATCAAGGAAGACTTACGTGTAGGGTAGGGTGGGGTGGTGGGGCGAGGTGGGGTTGGGTGGGGTAGGGATTTATTGTCACTGAGATCAAGATAGACTTGTAAAGGGTATGGTAGGAGCTGTCAATCAAAGAGATGAAGGAAGACGTACGTGTAGGGTGGGGTGAGGATGGAGATTCATTGTCACATAGATCAAGATGTAAAGGGTGGGGTAGGAATTAACAGTTAATGAGATTAGGCCGGAATAGGGATTAATAATCGATCACTGAGATCAAGGTAGACTTGTGTAGGTTGGGGTAGGGATTGACAGTCAATGACATCAAGGTAAAACTGTATAGTTTATGGTAAGGGGGGATTGGTAGTCTTTGACATCAAGGTACACTTGTTTATGGTATGGTGGGAATTGCTATTCACTGAGATCAAGATAGATTTGAGTAGGGTCGAGTGGGAACGGAGTTTCACTGACATCATGGTAAACTTGTTAGAGTAGGGTGGGGATTGATAGTCATCGAGATCAGGGTGTATAGAATGATCTTTGTGATCAATCAGTGATTGAAAACTGAGCATTACAATAGAATGATTTTTCTCTAGCTTCTAGTAAAGCTATAGACGCGCCAATGTATTAGTGTAAAATGAAATGTCAAGAATATGGCTACGCTCATTGAATGGAGATCCATTTCCTTATAAGAACGTAGTCTCAATAAACCATCTTTAATTCTTGTTTTGAAATAGAAACTTGTGCGCAAGAACAAAGAGTCAGGAAAGGAAATTGATTTTATCGAGGTCCAAGAGATGTACGACTCAGCGATCAAGATTGCCCTAGGAATAGCCCTTCCGGTCATTACTGTTGTCATCCCTACCATCCCTAAATTAGTCAAGTTTGCCGAGACCAAAATGGGACTCAGGAATTCCTACACGGTAAGAAGACTGAAACTAGATCAAACATAATACCATCCGCCAACCGGTTGGCTCAGTTGATTGAGCATCGAACTTTCGTGCGGGAGGTCGTGGTTCGAGTCCCAGCCGGACCAACACTCAGGGTCTTAAAATAACTGAGGAGAAAGTGCTGCCTTTGTAATTACATCTGCAAATGGTTAGACTTTCAAGTGGCTCGGATCACCACTTTAAATGGCGGTCCCGTCTCTCCACATTTCATCATTACTAACCAACATCGGAGGGACGTAAAAGAACCACTGAGGACGTAAAGAAACCCTGGCAGTGAACACCCTCAGTGCCTACACCTCATACTAACCATCTCTCATTCATAAAATCATTGTAAAGCGCTTTTGGACATATCCACATGGAAAAAAGCGCTATATAAATATCATAATCACAATCCTCTAATACTATGAAATGCCATCTAGACCTCGCTCACCAACATGCATGAGTTCCAGTAGCTTGGTGGTTAGAGCGACTGACTAGCAAACAGAAGGTAGAATTCCGCCTGGAGCTTGGAAATGTTTCGGGGGAAAATTTGCTTTAAGTGCAAATTGGTTGTGCAAACCAAACAATGCACTGCGCACCTATATTATTAATACATCGTTCGCCGTATTTGCTTTCTTACAAACTCTGCATGGTGGTATAAAATTTCAGCAAATTTTCTAACTAAAGTACTTACACGGGAATCATTAAGTGGCTGTGTACTATTATATCGTTATGATTGGGAGCATTGCATAATATTGTATTGCTTACGGCACGCAAATCATTGTGGTTGCCTATGATTCCGGGGGTAATCCACAACCGGCAGAACGAAGCCTGGGAGTGGATGAACAAACAATGAATGGTGAGATAAAACAAAGAACGCAGCTCACATGTAGAACAATACACATTATTCATTATAATCCATGCTTTCTTTGTTTTTGTTATTTTGTCCAATCCCAAGCTTCGTTCTACCAGTGGACACCGACCCATGATTCTTTAGTACTATGACTACTGAATGACTTTACGAACACAAAAACCCCACTATTTCTCTATCTCACAGCTTCTACCAGTTTAAAAAATATATAACAAAAAAGAGCCTTAAATTAACGTATTCGGGAATCAAGGGTGGGGCGACAATAATGCCCTCAAGTATTCTGTGTTTTGACATTCATTAAAGATGTATGTGGGTTACGTTTCTTCAGTGCAGTCTTAAAGGATCTTTGCCGAGAAAAGATTTGCTTCAACAAACGTAATTTACACCTCTAATAATGCACTCACTTGTCATGTCTGGTGTCTGAGTTATATAGTTAGCATCAGATTGGAGTAAAGTTTGCTAGGTCACTTCCATTATCCGAAACTTTTTCCCACAGCTCTCCGGTTTTCCTCCCTTCACGAAACACAAAAGTTTATTGTCGTCTGATTTTTATTTCAGCTTGACGATTCATTGTCCAACGCCCTAAAGAAGCCCCCAGCAACAAGTTCAAAAGCCAAGGTTCTCAAAAGTTGGCTAGGCAAAACCAAAGTGAGGATAGATGATAAACTGGAATCCTTTAGGACTACTCTGAACACAAAATATGGAGGAGCCGTCAAAGTTATGCAGAACATAGGTTCTGGTTTGGTATTGATATTGGGCTACGTTGGATCAGGTGCGTTATTTTATCGAATTGATTTCGGTCTTTATACTAACAAATCCGCTTGCAGTTTTTATTGGTTGTTGTATTATCAGGTTCCTTAGTGAGTTTAAAGCCTGCTTGCTTCTCGTTAGTGACGGAAGCCGACGCAAGCATTAGTACTAGTCCAAGCCAACGGAAAAGGAGGGAAACCCAAAACTGTCAAATGAAACATATTTTAAATGCATCTACAAACGTGGTAGAGAAGCAACAAGATCGTATTGAATGGGTCCTAGGATAACCCACATTTCTATTGGTAATGATAAAAGGGTAAATTATACACCGTGAAAAGATGAAAAAACTTACTGACGTTTCGGACGCTAGTCCTTCTTCGGAGTTCCTCTTTTTAATACTCCGACGAAGGACTAGCGTCCGAAACGTCAGTACGTTTTTTCATCTTTTCACGGTGTATAATTTA